GATGAAAGAAAATGTTTTTCTCCCTGAGTCTGGCCTTCATAATTCCATTCCATCACAGGTGTTTACATTAAGATTACACTAAAGGGAGGTGTGATGGCAAAAAGTTTAGGAACACCTGCTTTAAAGTGCTTGAAAGTATTTGGAATTTCTTTTGGAATTCCTTTTGGAATTTCTGTGACTTTCACTGTGTATGTGTGTGTGCATGTCTGTGGAGAGAGAGGAAGCATACATGCAGGTCCACCAGCATGTAGTGATTATGGTAAGGTGCTGGACTAGGAGGAGGGAGTCTCAGGTTCTAGTCATCCCTTAGGCCGAGCTGGGTGACTTTGGGACAGTCACTCTTTCAACCCTACAGCTGCTTAACTACAACACTGCATTGGTTCTCAATGTATGTACAGTATATGTCTCTGTGTGTATGTATTTCTGAAGGTTCATTATAACGTGTGTGTGTGTGTGTGTGTAAACATGTTATAATGAACCTTCAGAAATACTAATCCTAAGAAGGTACTGACCTAATTTTATGCATTGCTGCATAATTGATTGATTAATAATGTTTATGTCCTGTTTGGTTCTTTCTTCAAGCACAAAACTTGTGAGCCGTTTCCACACTCCTTTTATTGTAGAAAATTACAGAAAGCTAAATCAGCTACGTGAGCAGCTGGTCCTTGACTGCAATTCTGAATGGCTATGTTTTTTAGAGTAAGTTTACAAATTCTATTTTTGTTATTGTTATAAGTAGATTTCAGAATACAAATAGATAATGATAACTGGCATATCAAAAGTTAATGGATTTTGTGTGATTTAGCAGCTGAAAATATTCCTTGCCTTTTTAATGGGAATATATTTAACATTCAGAGACCTAGTATTTTAGAGGAGTTTTGATCTTTTTGAGGACTTAGATTACTGATAAGTAACGTGGTGCTCATTGGCAGATGTGCCCCAAAATATATCTCTTGGCGCCTACTAGGATCCATGATTTCTCTCAGCTTTTAAAAGTATTTCCTTAAATTTATAACATGCACAGGAAGGTGGTATTCTGCAAAGAACAGCATCATGTTTTTTTTGCAGCTTACTTGACCCTCATGGGCCATTGGATAGCCGAAAGCATTCATATGGGCTAGTTCACTTTCTGATGGCTGTCTGGATTTTTTAAGCCCAGATCAGCTATCCATAATTTTTCAGCACAATAAAATCCTTGAGACCTCTTTTTAAAAAATATGGTAAAATATAACAAAATATAGTTTAAAAAATACAACAGTATTAATACAATCAGAAAAATATATAAATATGTTTATATACTGTACACATTACTATAAAATTTGAAAATTCTATAGTGACAGTTTTATTACTATTTTCATAATACTCTGTAGTGATGGATCATCTATCTTTTCTTTCTAATCCCATTGTACCCAGGCAGCTTTTGTAACAACTGACAGATAGACAGACAAACCCTGCCAAAAATACTGTTTCCTTTTCAGAATTTCCCATCCCCTTGTATCCTCTCTCTGTCTTTCATCATAAACAATCAAACCAATCATAATTTCTGTGTGTATGTGTAAATATACCTAGGCTTAAACTATGTTTTCAAAACAGACAACGTATGTAAGAAGCCTTGTATGGATGCAGTATTGTGGATAGTTATAGTTTATTTGTATTAATATTTCATTCACTTTTTTTCCTTCCCAATGTTCTTCTCTCTAGTCATTTTAACGAGCATTATCATGTACTCTCTCAAGCTGTGGGTCATCTAGCAACTGTGGACTGTGTTTTTTCCTTGGCTGAGGTTGCCAAACAAGGAGATTATTGCAGGTAATCATTTTTCAAATAGTACTGGAATATTTAAGGTAGCATTGTGATTTACAAAAGTGCTGGCCAATTCTTGAATGCCATGTTTGCATGAATGAGACTTTCTACCAGATCAGATGGTTTCTGGGTGGAATGGAGCTTGATGGAGCTGCGTTTATTGTCAGTGGAGCTGGCTTGTTTCAAGTTGGGTTAAGCAGAGATATTATTTAGGGCCTTTATTCCACATTCAATCTATAAACATCATCTGTTTTTCAGACCTGTCATAAAAGATGAAGGATCAGAAATAATGATAAAAAATGGGAAACATCCCGTAATAGATGTGTTACTGGGAGAGCAAGAGCAATATGTTCCAAATGATACATTCTTGTCAGTAAGTAAGCTTTTAAGAACTGGAATACTCAGAAGATCATAACATTGTTTTAAGTTTGGAAAGCTGTTACGTACAGTATATGGGGACTACATCTCCAAACAGCAGTTCTATGAAAGATTCAGAATATGCCATTAAGATACCTAGATTTTTAGGTAATTACACTTCAGTTGAATAGATTTAGAGAGTGAAACATGAAATTACATAGTCTCACATTTACTTCTTTGTTGGCTCTTTCTTTTCCTGCATGCTCCAAAAACCTATTCTGGAGAGTTGAGGTTTCTCCAGAGAAGATTTAGAGACATGTGGGATGGCAGGAAGGAAGAAAAATCACTTAGCCTACTTATGGATCTTTCTCACATAGAATATTGTAATATTATGCTTCCATTACAAACATTTTGGGTAATCACATGGAAGTTACAGATAAAAGAAAGTACTGCAAAGCCCTCCATCCATGTTTAGATTTTGAATGCCCAAAGAATATGTATGTACATAAACCCAGGCAAAGGATAGCAGTTCATATAAACAAATCCTCTGATGTTGTTGTTCCCTGTTTGGAGAAATGCTTTTTTACATGCAACACTTCTTTTATTCCAGGATGACATAGGCTTTTTTTTAACAGCTCTAACAATGTCATATAGCTATTACAGTTGCTATTACAGTTTCATTTGAATTTTAGATAGTTTTGTGAAGCAGTGATGATAAATGAAGTAAATGAAGTCTTAGCAAGACACCTAAATTAGAATTTTTGGTGTAGTAAATTGGAATCGGTTTAGATGTTTTGTATATGATCACCACATGTCTGAAACTTTTGCATGAGCCTTGTCTTAAAATGCTCTAATTATAGTGTTTCTTTTTCCAGGAAGATAGTCAAAGAGTAATGATAATTACTGGACCTAACATGGGTGGAAAGAGCTCTTATATAAAACAAGTTGCTTTGATTACTCTCATGGCACAGATTGGTTCTTATGTACCAGCTGAAGAAGTGAGAGTTGGTATTGTGGATGGTATATTCACCAGGTGAGACAACAAAGATTGATTGATTGATTGATTGATTGATTGGTCATGTTTATATAGCTGCCTATCTCACGCAAAGCAACTCTGGGTGGCGTACAACAATAAAATAAAATAACAAGTGGATAAAAACAAGCATTATAAAAAGATAAAAAATTATTAAAATAAAAACATTATCACAAGTGTTTAAAAATTTAGATTTTAAAATATGTAAGGGTGATATATATGAAGGTAAAATGACAAACGTTTCTTGGCAGCTTTTATTTTTCAGTTTCAATGTCATGAGGTTTTTTAGGATTATCACAAAACATTCACATTAACAGTTTAAGACTATAGCAAGCAATCTCTTCTCTTGTACTT